TTTTTTGGCTTGGTTTATTAAAGCGCGTAACTGATTTAATCTTCAGTCTTTACATTGGATCCGTATGTCTGTCTTTTCACATACAATTATTTTTAGTTTTTTTAGGAGATATTCGAGTCTAGAGTGTCAATTTATAGTTCTATCAAGCATCTTTTTTTATGATTGAAAATCATTTACGAATAGTATGGGTGCATATCTGAAAAATGTCACACTGACGTAACGATTGATGAGTTATCAAAAGACGATCGATTTTTGGAACAGTCGACAGTATGGGCGCGTGTCTGAAAAATGTCACACTGACGTAACGCTTGATAATAAAGACGTTGGAATAAAATAAATCGCAAAAATGGTTTCGCATGTCTCTTTCCTGTATTGATTTTCAATCACCTGATTCTTACGCTCGTCGTGATATCTGCAAATTTGTTTAATTTATACGGAATTTTTATAAAGGGTTTTGCGTACCTATTTATTCACATTTCAGGAACATACACATTTCTTTTCTGGTAAAAATAATCATAATTAAACGTAGTACAAGTGATCTTGTACAGACCCTCTTGAAACAAGTATCTTCGTGGTTGCCACGATTTTAGGCGTTCTGCTTATCCGAAATGAAAAATCAAGAAACATCTTCGTTAATAATAACGTCGCTATGGCACGAACCAGAATAATTATAAAATATTGATAAATCAAAAAACGGCAAGATTTTAAAGTTTGAATATCCATTTTTTGTATTTTCTTGTCCTTAGTATATTAAAAAAAAATATATAATTACACCAAGAAATGGTAAAATCTGTTGCAGCTTGGAACGAAACAGGATACAAGGGTCCTTATCCTCTCACCGAGGCCGAAACAAGCATGATCCTACCGATGGTTTTGCAGTATTTGACACCAGATTTCGTTTCCTTTTTCGGGTTAGGCGCAGTATCAGCAGCAGTGATGTCTTCGGCAGATAGTAGCATCCTTTCGGCTAGCTCGATGTTCGCCAGAAACGTGTATAAATTGATCTTCCGTCAGAGGGTAAGTTCGTCGCCATTACGTAGATCGTCGTTGCTTTATATTTAACTCCGTGTCGCATCATGCATTCGATTCCTCCACGATCTCGACATCTATCGCTTCAAGCTCGTCGCACGACGAATAGTCATCATCATCGTAACGATCATAACTTTCATTACCATTACCATCGCCACCACCGTGCGTCGAATCGTTCGACGATATCGACCGCTATCACACATTCCTTCAAATCTTACGTTCGTTATCATCACCATCGTCATTAAAACCGTCATCGTACGTATGGTCTCTGAACCAAGATCGCTCACTAAGCTACTCGAATCATCATTCAAGATATCATTGCTCATCACCGCTTCAAGTCACAGTAAACGTAGAAAGCAGTCCCGAGGGTTGCCAACCGCATTTAGATAGGTGTCCTTTAATCAGGACTGCGGGAACGGTATCCGCCAAGATAACGCAAGGATGGAACCCAGCTCCTTCGAACCGTTCCACTTAGCATATGCATGAACGTGGGTGTGAGACTATCGTTCAGGACAGGGGAATACTCGTCGTTGCATTCGTGTTGTCGCTTCGCAATGAAATTTAATTCGCCACCCTCCGACATTCTCCGTTCGCATAAACAAAACCCGCTTCTATCCACGACACTATAATCGTCATCACGTTCCACACGTCTTCGTATATACGCTTGTTGTATCACGCGTTCGCAATTCCGATACGATACCTATCCGACGTCGTAGAATGGAATCGACGCCGGTGGTCTCTACTAGACGTTTACCCCCTTGAACAGGCGTCGGAAATGGAGATCATCTGGGTGATGAGAGCGGGGATAGGCGTGGTCGGCGTGTTGAGCACGGTGATGGCGTTGACGATACCGTCGATCTACGGACTTTGGTCGATGTGCTCGGACCTGGTCTACGTGATACTCTTCCCCCAGCTGTTGATGGTGGTCCACTTCAAAGAGCACTGCAACACTTACGGGAGTCTGTCCGCTTACATAATAGCGTTCATGGTGAGGATCAGCGGCGGCGAGCCGATGATGGGACTTCCCGCGCTGATTCATTATCCGGGGTACGACGAGGAGACGGACACCCAAGGGTTCCCGTTCCGAACGATGGCGATGTTGATGTCGTTGATAACGTTGATAGGCGTGTCGTACGGCACGCAGGTGGCCTTTCTCACCGGCCGACTGGCTCCTGGCTACGATGTCTTCAGGTGTGTCGTTAATATACCGGAGGACGTTGAAAGGGTCGGTCCAGACCCGGCGGAGGGCGAGCAAATGGCTGTATTGGCTGCCGGCGCCGGCAGGCTCTACGGCAGCAAAGACGAATCGAACGGACGAGTCAATCCTGCGCTCGAGCCGGACTACGACATGGAGCCGGGATACAAAGTTCCGGGGGCACCGGAAGGCGTCGTCGGCGGTGGCGGCGGGGGTGGTGCCGGTGTGCAGCTCGTCCCCCATGGACCGAACGTGCCACGACAGCCCCAATCCAGCACCGCGTTCTAATTCCTGGTTCCGTGATCGGATGCTGTGACCAACAATAAACGCGGCGGTGTAGGTCCGTATTATTTTCTCGTTTACCTTTTCGTTTGATCGTCGACACGTTCACCACCGTACAGTCTAACCTTGATATCTCTGCGATTCAAACGTGCTACTCGTCCTGGCACCCTTTAGATTTCAGGCAATCTTTGTCTGGGAGTTGGGTAAATCGACCTACCAAAAGCTGGAAAACGGATTTTTCCCGAAACTGAATCGTTCGAAACAATTTCTCTGTAAAGTATTTCTTATTATTCGAATAATTCGTAATAAAGGGACAATCTTGTGTCTGAAACTTTGATCTCTCAACTAATCCGACGAAGAAATCTCGTGGAATTTTATTCTTCGAGTCGGCGGTGTATAGCAAGCACTGCGAATCCGATATCGGGCCCTCTTAGTACCTCGCAATTTTTTTTATGTACGGCTCGAAAATGTCCCGGAAAGTATGCATTTTAACAGACACTTTTTAAAATTACCACATTCTTCTTAAGAATAAATACAACTTCTTCCTCTTGTTTCGTTTGATTGTGAGATGTAGTATCATATAAGAAAAAGAGAAAGAATATTTTTGATAAATTGAATAGTTATTTTGAATGAAAAACAAAGGTATATATATTTTTTAATAAAATAACATAAATGGAGGGATTGCGATACGTCTTTATACGCGAACGAAGCTGAAAACATTCTCTCTGTGCTACTTTATTACACTCGGAATATACAGTTTTTTGTTCCTGATCAGTACAATACGATCAGTACAATTCTTTTTCTTTCGTTCTGATCATTTTCGAATACAACTTAACGAGGAATCGTTAATGGCCGTAGGATTGAGATTTTTTACTTTTTTCTAACTTTTACATAATTTTTTGGTTAATTTCTTATTGAATTACTTCTCTTTGCACGAACAAATTTTCTATTATATACATTATAATATAATGTACATAAATATATATGTATATATTTTGTACAAAGAGACACAATAAGAAATTAACCAAACAGTTTAAATAACTTTTATACACTAAACAAGTATATAAAGTTCTAAATTATAGAATTTGAGAAAGTAAACCTTAAAAACATTGGTTACTATTCAAGAGAATCTGTACAAATAATAAAAATCACACAAGTATTTCCATTTATACATATCCAAGATGAAACATATTTAAACATGCATTTTCCTTTTTCAAGTATGCCTTGCTCAAAGAATTCATTTTATTGAACTTAATCCCTTGTATACACATTATACAATTGTACGATAATTAAAAAACCGATCTTTTGGCTGTGAGGTACTAAGAGGGTTAAACAATGAAAGGCATTTCTTAGAAAAATGTCTACGACTCAGTTTTTCTTCTTACTGTATACGGGCGACAAGACCTTTCGCTAAAGAGCTAGAAGAATTGATTTCGAATGTGAGGTGGACAGAAAATAAAGTTGTTTAAGACTTGGAATTTAGTGAGATTGAAAACAGAAGTAGTCTCGAAACAAAATTTTGGCCTCGTAGAAATTTTCAAGGCTAGGTATTAGGCTGGCAGTCAACGTGTCGATTCTGTTCCATTTCTCCATTGTACCTGTCACTTCCTCCTCGGTAAGAGATCTGTATCTACTGAAAGAGTATTTTTTCTAGAAAGGTAGACCCAACGAGCGAGGTTTGCAGGGCGACACGAACATTGGTAATGTTTTCCTAATATCCTCATTCCGGTAAGACAGAGATAGAGCAACTGTTCCAGTAATTGAACAATTGGGAACAAATGTTCTATTCCCTTGAAGTTAATTAAAACAACGATTTCCTTCATTCATTTCTATATTTTCATTCTGACAGCATTTCATTCGTATATTTACTTCGTTAAAATAAATAGAAGTGATATACATTTATTTAAAAAAAAAAAAAAAAAAAATATTTCTATTGGAAAGTACCAAGATGTCTCGATAAATGAACTATCGAAATTTACGATGCATCAATGATAGTACTTCGAAAATGTTCTTATCGTCCGCAACCCTTGTTGAAATGAACACATTGCGTGCTAACTATAATTATATTGTCTGTCTACGGAGATTAGGTATTTAAAATAAAATACGTTAAAGATGTTTTACATGTTTACCAATAGCATTAAAAAAATGAAATTTATTAATTTTATTCAAGATTTTTATTAGAAATACTACAATTTCTATGTTTGTTCCCGGACTACGCCGAGATGGCTTGACCAATCGGGATGAAACCTTTTGCATCTTGCAGAGCATGTCTCCCAGTTGGTTCCGCTATCAAGACATTTTGCGATTTGTCATATGTTACCTAATTTTTTCGCAAAAATATCGCAAAAACAGTACCAGTTCGCGTATATTCACGAAACCCCTTACATCTTGCTGCCGGGCAGGTTTTCCCGATGATCACATTCGCAAAAATTTATGAATTTTATTATTGTTCATAATTATCGTTAAAGCAATAGTGCAAAAAACGAATATATAAGAAAGAAGCTACAACGAGTACCTATTAAATTTCAAACGTGTTCCGTTAGGTACAAAAGCGCGCAATGTGTTAGGCCGATCACACACGGCGCAACCCAACCAGTTTCAAATCACTCTGAAAGTACATAGTTGCATGTGATCGTGGATCTAGGTAAAACAAAGACAGTGGAGTAGGTAAAACAAGGACACGCAAACGGTTTGCAACACTAATTTCAAATCGGTTGCGCCGTGTGCGATCGGGCTTAGTCGCCCTTTTATACTATAAAAGATACTCTTTCCAAAGTATCGACCAGAAACGAATGTTGGTTTGTTTTCTCGACATTTGTTTATGTTACTTCGATTGCCCCCCTCGTCCCACGTCCGCAATACTTCGATTCATCTACAATCTACGTCGATTCGCGTTCGTTCGAGGCATTTCGTACGCTCCGTAAAAAAGTAAATAAAAGCACGGCGGAGGGGATGAAACGGACCAAACGCGAACCAAAAACACAGCGCGATACTTTTGAAAATCGAAGTGTCTCGGATAGTCGGGCGAGGCAGTTCCCCGCCTGTACCGCCAATTAGGCCTAGTAATCTCCTTGTTTCCCTTTTTGAGAAATATATATATATATATATAAACAAAAAATGGCGTCCATGTATAATTACTCGCGCGTACGCGGATAATTATACAGGGGCGCGCAATGTATTTAGAGTTTATCAAACCGCTTGAGAGAACTAACGTCGTCTGATGCACGACCGATCTGTTCCCGTTACGTCGAAATATTTCGGATGATCGCGAGTGTTTCGGGGAAAGCACGGAGCTGAATCGATTGTTATACCTCGTTCCGTTAGATATTAGTTCGTGACGAGCGGTTGCGGGTGGACAGGATAGGGTGTATATAGAGGAGCGTCGAGTTTCTAGAACGAGTCGAATTAGGCGGATCACGTTATCATTTGTTAGCCTTCTTCCACAAGATCTGTTCCGCATCCTTCGCCGTTCACGGTCACGAGATAATCGTCGTATGTTAGACGAAAGAGAATTTCGAGAAATCGAGAGGTGGAAGGAAGTAGCGAGACGAGACGCTTTTATACTCGCGATCGATTGTTCTTCCCTTGCTTAATCCGAAAGGATATACGTATAGATGATACACACGGTACACATGGACACGTTCCTTCATACCATAACGAAACGAAGTAACGTTAGACGTTAGGCATTAGATTGTCACGCAACCGTTCGTCGCGTTAGACCGAGACTTTTCGAAGGCTCGCGCGCGTACACGAGTCACCAAACGCGTTTCAGCTTTCTTCGATCCAGACACGCGAACAACTAACACTTTCACGTTTAATCGGCGTTGTAAATATATGGAAACGCGGTGGCGACCGTCGTGAGTAAGTTCCTCAGCGTGTGCGCGGTTATGGCAACGGACACCGCAATTCCACAGCTGCGCGCGTCAATGGTACTCGTTCGATGCTAGTCCATTCATGCGACCGTGAACGATTAACGACGATCATGTTTCAAATGCAGCGAGTAACGTTCGCGTACTTTCCGATCTTTACTATATCGTTTTATAATTTTTATTCGATACGAGAGATAAAGTAATCGAGGTATATCTTGTATCGCCGAATTAATGACGGTATAAAGGCTTCTTTTTTTTTTTTATTGAACAGTATAAAGTTCGTGTATTTAATTCGTTATGGTTTTGTAAAGTGAACATTAACGATGTCTAATTTTTTATGTAAGCATTATCTCGTCACAAGAGATTAATTAATCGAGATGTATGTTGCATTGAATGTATTTCTATGTATTCACGAATATTTAATTCATTTATATATACATGGAGCATAATAATTACATTTAATTTCCAATTGAATAATTTTACTTTAATTTATATTTTAATACTTATATTAATAAGATTAAAAAAATCATTGATGCTTGCTTTAAGCACCGACTTAACGAGAGTATAAGGTTTATGCATATAAATCATAACGTTTCTTATAAAATAAGTCTCGAACGAAACAATGTCCGATTTCGTCGATGCTTCTATTTATCTTTTCTTTCACTCATATTAATTAGAAATTTTTCTTTACGTTACTTACGTTTATATCAAGAGTACATAACTCGATTTTATCTATACTTTACGTTTAATTAGAAACTTAGAAAATTAGAAAGAGAACATATCAAAGTCGCGTTTATTTACAAAAACCAGAACACTAATTAAGAGTTTCGCCAAGCGTTCAAATATCAAAATAATCGTTCTCACGGGAAACATCGTAAATTAGATGAACGAACTTTACACTTTCGATAACTGGACTCGATCATTCTCATCCTTCGTAGCGGCGCAAAGTTATAAACGACGAAGTAAAGAGTGCGGGGCGTTCGAGTTTTAAAGTTGCTCGTTGTAAGTTCCTTAGCGTGTGTGCGGTTATGGCAACGAACACTTCCGTTCCACAGCTGCGTGAATGGTATAAGGGTTTTGTGGAATGCTAGTTCATTCATACGACCATGAACGATTAACTACGATTAGGTTTCAAATACGACGCGTGAGTCAACGGAAGATCTTTCAGACGGATCGGCCGTCGCACAGATTCGTTGTGTTTATTATATAGTATATACATACATATATATATATATATAAATATAAATAAATAAATATACAGTGTATTATATAATCGACGTAATTGGCATTGAATCGAGACGAATGATTTAGCGTTATCAAAGAGGAAGATCGGATCTCTCTATACATATACATATGTACACATTATACATACACACGAGAAGACTAATACCGTAGTTGTTAACATCGCAGATACGAATTATCGCCACCCATTGTTAATTTTTAGGATTTATTTATCCTATCGTTTGAACATAGCAGTGTTCTCGCTGACGTCTCGCGTTAATGTCTATGTAGCAGCGTTATTGCTCATCGTAGTTGCTCATCCCATTGTTCATAGTCGACAGAGACATTGTTCATAGTTTAAAGGTAACAGAGAAATGTAAATGATTCGCGTACGTAATTATTAAACGAGTAGTTCCTACTCACCATCCAAATTTCATCGTTTCGATAGAGAACACGGGAAATACGCGATTAGAGAGTGCGCAGGGATTAGTCAAAATAATATGGGCACTTACGAATTCGATTGTCAAACCTGGTTGCGGTTCTGCGACTACGAAAACGGGATATCTTCGTATTTGGATGGTCCTATCGTTAAGGACCTTGTTATATGTAGATGATCGGTTTTCTATTATTGTTTGCATATTGTTTTTTGAAATGATAATTTACCATTTGTTAAGGCGATAACGCTTGTACACTGAAATGTTCAGTCTTAGTTCAAGAATCGTAAAGATGAGCTATAATATTATTGCTTACGGTTAACTACTTTATTGTGGGAGTAATTGAAAGACGTTTCGATAGGAAAAGTTAGAGAAAATTCCACTGAAAACTGTTTCAAGAAGAAATGATTTCAAAGTT